CTAGATGTTTTAGCTAATGAAATATGATAATCAAAATTTGAGTGCGGAATTTAACACACATTACGGGTTGTTTATTTTGTTATCTGAGTGGACTTGATGCGCAGAATAGTGCTTACCAGAAAAAGGTTCAGTTCTGATCAGTATACTGGGGAAAATGGGGTGGAATGGAGCCAAATCCAAAGTTTGTTGATATCAAAGGAGTTCGCTGTTCCAATAAATGTTGCAGAAAAAAATCCTTGGTTATATTAGTAGTTATGTTAGTAGTATAGTATATATTTATATAGCATGTGAAGCATTTTTCATTGTCCTTACCCAGTTTAGGTTGGCGTCTTCGGTATTCGATGCTGAATGACGATGATGCTTCGCAAATATTTCTTAGACGTCCGGACTGCCCTCAAAGATAGTTGCCGAAATTTTACAATGCACAATACTGCGAAGCAGGGAGAGCACCGAATTTCACCCTGGATTGATGCCTTTCTGAACAAAGATTGATGCCTTTCTGTAGAGGATAATTTTCGAACTGACCGCGGTTGAATATACCTCTGAAGAAGGATCAATCACAAATCCATAAATGATATACTGTTTCCAGACCTCAACTATTCTCACTCTGAAACCTCTAACGCATGTACTGCATGGATATTTTTTTAATTTTGATTTTATTGTACCTTTGTAGACAGGTATTTTTCACTAAGAACAAACTCCATATGTTGCACTCTATTGACTGAGCATGAAACAAAAACAGAGCCAATATCTGTGTGCAAAAGAAGGAGTTTGTTTTAGGTTTTCTCCTGTTTTCCAAGGGTTTGGACGGTGCCCAAGAGGTGTCTTACCAATAAACCTTATTATTATTACTATAGCTAGGACTGATCTGAGAGGCCCCAAAAATCCCGTTGACTTATAATAAAAAAACTACTTTTACATGTTCAGTAGCCCGTCTTTGATTTTTCCATTAAATTTAATTAACAGGAGGACGAATTTAAATTTTCGTAATATTCCACATGCATAAGGTCGAAGTTCCCTTAATTGGAATTCGTGACTTGCGCAGCAGAAGTTCATGTTGATCGAATTTTATTTTAGCATATTAAAACAGATGCAATTTTATTTAATTTAATATGTTTTGATCACTTCCGCCACAATTACTAAGTAATTTAAACTCGGTAGTCGAGAACTAATGTTTGGCCACTGTTGTAACGGTAGCCAAGACCGAGGTGTCACTACCTTAGTTCGAATTGTGTGAGCTCCCAAGGAAGAACACAAAAAGAAGTGGGCGAAATCATAATGCCTTGCGTGTAATGGGTACAGAATAGTGAGATCAACAAACGCGTATTACGCGATATACATCGAGCCAATCACCTTCTCCCCTAGCG